ACATAGGGTCGCTATGAGTCGCAAACAACTCGACGGCACATAACAACAACAACCCCTCTACTTTGACCTTGGGAGCAGAGTCATGTACTGATTATAACAGAGACCCTGCAGGCAGATTGCCTGGGTCTTAATTTCTACCCTACCATGTACTGGCTATGTGACTTTGGGAATGCTACCTGACCATGTATTAGTCTCTTCATCCATAAAATTGCAACAGAAAATTCCCCACTCAGCAGGGGTTTTATGGACGTGGAGTGACTGGCTACGTGTAAACAGCATGATGCGACATTGTTAAGTAACGTGAGTTAATACTACCACAATCAACACCATGAACATATATTACTCCACAGTACTAAGGATCGTGGACTCTGTCCCTGTTCCCCCACAACCTGCCCTTGCCCTCGACCTCTTTCTCTCCACCTTGTCCTGACTCTGGTCTACAGTGGAAGTCTCTAGAGAATCGTAGGAATTCAGGACCAGCTTTGGAGTCACACACTAAGTTTGCAATCACAATGGTTTCTTGGTGAAGTTCTTTCTCTGAACCTCAGCTGACTCCTCTGTGAATGGTGTCTATCTTAGAATGTAGTTATGAGGATTGGAAGCACGTGAAGAAGCTGCTCCTAGCCCATAACAGGCCCCATTTATATTCTTTTTTTATCAAAGTTTACAGAGACTTTGGATTTCCATTCATTCATTGTTGCACTTTTCTTCCTACCCATCCCTTCCCCTCCCCCAGTTCGTTCTTCTTTTTGAAAAAAGAAAAAAGAAAAATTATTTCATTGTTATATAATCCCTCCCCCCAAGTCTACTCCACTATGCAGCCTTTGTTCTGGACTCCTGTCCTGACAAGAATACCTAATCATATATCCCTTTTAAACAGGTCTCTAATTCACTTGTTTCAATGCAGTATACATTATTTATCCCCTCTTTCTCATTCTTCCCCCAACCCTGATGTCAGTCCCATTTTACAACAGTGGCACTATGCAGTATTTGTCCTTTTGCAACTGAGATATTTCACTCAGCATAATGTCCTCCAGGGTCACCCATTTTGTATACTATTTCATGAGTTCCTTGTTGTTCAATGCAGCATAGTATTCCATTGTGTGAATATACCAGAGCTTCTCTATGCATTCATTTGTTGATGGGCACTTAGGTTGTTTCTAATTCTTTGCTATTACAAGCAAAGCTGCAGTAAACATGGGTGTGCATATATCTACTTGGGTGGCAGTTATGGACTCTTTGGGGTATATTCCCAGTAGTGGAATTGCTGGGTCAAATGGTATTTATATTTGCAACTTTTTGAGAAAGCACCATACTGCCTTCCATAGTGGTTGCACCATTTTACACACCCACCAACAGTGAGTAAGGGTTCCAGTTTCTCCACAACCTCACCAGCATTTGATGTTTGCTGTTTTGTTAAATTTTCCTATTTTTACTGGGGTGAGATGATATCTCCTGGTTGTTTTGCCCATTTGTATTCTTATCTTTTTTTGTGATATGAAAGAGGAAACCAACCATGGTGCTCCTTAAAGGCAAAAATGGTGAAACTTCCTCTCACATACTTCGGCCTTGTTGTCAGGAGGGGCCTGTCTGTGGAAAAAGGCAGCATGCTGAGGAAGGGAGAGGGTCAGAGAAAGAGAGGAAGCCTCTCAATGAGATGGATAGACATAGTGACTGTAGGAATGGGTTCAAGCATGGTGGAGATGATGAGGTTCGGGCAGGATTGGATAAGGTTCAGGTCTGTTGTTCACATGGTCGCTCTGAGTCATGTTAGACTTG